CTAAAGTTTTTTGTTTTGTTTTGTTTTTTGAGACAGGGTCTCACTATGTAGTTGAGACTGACCTGGAACTCACTATGTAGCCCAGGCTGGTCTTGAACTCACAGTGATCCTCCTGCCTCAGCCTCCCGAGTGCTGGGATTACAGGCGTGCGCCACCACACCTGGAAAGATTTTTTTTTTGTACTGGGAATCAAACTCAGAGCCTCTCACCTGCCAGGCAGGTGCTGTGCCACTGAGCTACATCCCCGTTCCTCAACTCAAGATATTTTTGATTTTACAATGCTGTGTACCCACTTAATTGTTCTGGTTTTCATTTTTGGTTAAATATTCACTAAATTACATCAGATAGTCAAGACTTTATTGTAAAATATGATTTTGCTCAACTGTAGACAGAGTGTCCTGAGCATGTTTAAGGGGGGCTAGGTTAAGCAATGTTTTAAATGTTGTTCAATTTATCAGTATTTTCCACTTCCAGTGGGGTTATATCCTGATAAATCCACTGTAAACTGAAGAGCGTCTGCATATGGCAAATAAGTGTTTGTTTATTTTGTTGTTGTTGCCTCTCAGTCTTTCCCCTTCTTGTAATAGTACCATGATTTTTGTTCTTTCCTTTTGTGGCCCTGGATTGAACCCAGGGTCTTTGCACTGAGCTACAACCCCAGAGTTTTTGTTTTTTAAAAATTTTCTTTTGACTCAGGGTCCCTATATAGTCAAGGCTGGCCTCAAACTTGAAGCAATCCTCCTGTCTCAGCCTCCCAGTGTGCTGGGATTGCAAGCATGTGCCATCATGCCCAACTTAGTAGCCTGAATTTTCTTTTCTTTTTGTGGAGCTGGAGGTGGAACCTGAGGTCCTGTGCGTGTTTAGAAAGTGCGCTACCACTGAGCCACACTCCCAGCCCAGGACCCTGACCCATCTCTTCCCCACCTTCAGCCCTGTGAATTGGGACACGTGACCAAAACTTACCTCAGTGATTGGATCAGAGGGTCACCCTTTGTGACTGGGTGGGGCATGGGAGGCCTGAACAGTGAGGGCACAGGCCCTAAGTCCTGCCAGTTCCTTCCTCCATGTAAGGCATGAGAGTGAAGCCAGCATTGAAGACAGCAAAGCCACCATATGCAGAATGCAGTTGAGTGTGGTCTGGAGCCACCCTCTCCTGAATGAGGACCCCCATGAGCCGATGCTGGTCTTTGCTGCCCAAGCCAATGTGGGCCTCCTGCTGCCCATGCAGAGAAGCAGCTTGCTAAGGAAGCTGGCAGAAAGAAGGTGCATTGCACATGACCTTAAGACATAGAACTGGCTGAACAAGGCGAGGACCTTTGTATTCTTGGTCAGCAAGAGGGAGATTCATGTTATGCAGTCATGAAGCAATCGATTAAACTGTTGACTCTTAGAAAAGGTGTGTACTGCACTGGGACATCAGGGGCCATGGACAAAGTTGGTGAGTGCTTCTTGGCATTTCCTTCACAGCCGTGAAGGCAACTGTGACACAAGCTCCAACATGAGTTGACCTTAAGGCTGTTATTCTAAGTGAAACAAGCAGCAAGGGCATTAGCTCATTGGCACCACACCTGCCTCGCAAGCACAAGGTCCTGAGTTTTGATCCCTGGTTCCAAAAAACAAAATCTAAGTGATACAAGCCTGCCACAAAAGGACAAATGCTATGTGTAGGAACCAGCCTACAAGCTTGTGTCTGACCAAGGGTTGTCAAGAATGAAAAGTGAAGAGACACAGAAACAGGTTAAAATCTGAGGAAAGTAGGAGGCTTGTGTCTCTCTTCACCACAGAGCCCCAAATGATTGGCGCACTTGGCTTCATTCGCTCAGACACGGGCACAAGCAATTAGAGTTCTGCAGGGTTCATCTGTCTCCCACCCTCCTCGGTACTTCTCTGGGCAAACAGCTTTACCTCAGGTGTTTTACTTCTCTCTGTCAGCAGCGTGTCAGCATCATGTTAGCGTGCAGCTCGAAGACCCCTTGGCTTGGAGCATGTGACAAGTCACATGATGGCACTTGCAATGAGAATTTGATTGTTTAAAAATGTATTTTTATTTATAGGCTACCATATTTTTTTAACTTATAATTATTTGTATTTATAGGGTACGAAGTAAAGCTATAATATACATATATGCATTGTAGAATGATTAAATCAAGCTAATTAACATACCCGTCAATACAAATATATTTTGTGGTAAGAACATTTAGTTTATTCTCTCAGCGATTTGAAATACATAATGTATTATTACTATATGCTGTGTAATAGATCTCAAAGCACTTCTATCTCACCAAAACTTTGAACACTTCGATCAGCAAATAAATCCCTAGTCCCCAACCCCTGGGAATTTGATCATTAACAGCAGAGAAGAAGGTGTGAAAATACAGCTCTGCTGTAAAGCATCTACTACCAATACTGTATTTCTTCTCCTTGTCTTGTCTTGCAGCCTTTTTTTTTTTTGGTTTGTTTTTGTTTTTGAGACAGGGTCTCACTATGCAGTCCAGGCTGGCCTTGAACTCATGGCCATCCTCCTGCCTCAGTCTCCCTAGGGCTGGGCTCACAGGCTTGCATCACCACACCTGGTTTGGTCTCACAACAGTCTTTTCTCTTTAAATCCATGGTCAGTAGAGTGAACTACTTACTTTTCTTTGTTATTGTCAATGATCTGTTCCCGGCCCTCTTTCTGCCAACAGCTAAGGTCTTGCTGGCATCTCATGGAAACTTGGAGAGGGCAGGACTTGACTGTAGATCTTAGGTGACTTCAAGGGCTTCTGATGCAGGCCAGTTTTGGGCACAGGCAATGAGACTTCTCCAGCGTGGGCTGAAGAAATAAATGGGGAAGCCTACAATCTGTATGTAGGTTAGGTTTTCTAATATGCACCCTCTGCTCAGCTCCTCCTCGTCCCTGAGACCACCTGTATCTTAGACGGCTTAGTCCCTGTCACTGACCAGGCCCTACAGTCCGTTGATTGATGCTCGAATGTTTTCCAGGTCTGCTGCATGCCCCCAGCCTGTGCAAAGCAAGGGGGAGTATTCTGAGGGGAATTCATGACAATGTCTTTTACTGTAATACATTTTTTTTCAAACATTCACCATACTTTCCAATCACACTTCACTGACTGGAAAAGCCTCCTACTTGAGCTCCCTCTTCCCAAACTGCCTCACATTCACCAAAGTTAATTTCCCTAAATCTGTGGCTGTGGCTCTCCCTGCTGCGGTATCTCTGAGGCCACCTTGTGCCTCTGTAAGAGGTGCAAGGCCTCGACCTGGGGTTCCCATCGGGCACTGCTCCTGTTCCTGGACATCAGGCTGGGGTCTGAGCAATGTCTCCAGGGTGTGGTGAGATGAGGGAGCCACTGGTCCTGGGCACCATTGTTCTCTCCTCCCCATCAAAGCGGCGGCAGACTTCCCTGCAGATCCAAGTGCTCTGCTGGAGGTAAGCTGAAATCACTGGGGTTTCTAGAAACACCTTTTAAGAATCTTTATCAAAACTTTTATTAGTGCATTTGCAGTGCACAATGATCATGGACATTGTGGGGAGTTGGTGCCATCTGTCACACATCTTAATTCTTTTTAGGTCCCCTTCTCCTGCATGTCTTGATTCACTTCTCATCTGCAAAAGGCGTTGTTTCCTATTCTTTAGAGAATCTTGTCAACAGGACAAGGATCTTTTCCTGAGGTTTGGAGGTTGGTGAGATGTGGGGAGAAGGCAGGAGGGGTGGAGGAAATCCAGAAGCCTGAGAGAGGGTGGGATTGACTGGATGGGCAAGGTGTTCAGTGACCATAGGCCAGTGAGGAAAGACAAGTGGCACAGGTGGCTTAGGCGTGACACATGGCCAATCCCACCTCACAGCTTTCCGGGCTGCTGTGATGGATGCGTTGGAGCCTTTTAATTTAGATTCGGGGCCTGCTCTGGGGATGTTGTCAGCAAATACAAACAGAAGTCGCCCGCGCTTAGTAGATACTCAATGAACGAAGGTGGCATCTGCACCTTTGTTCTGGTTGTCTGCTTAGACCCTTACTGTCTGTGTCACCCCTAGACGTTTCTCTGATTTATCAGAAATCTGGGGACCAAAGTGCAGCCCCCGCCTCTCTGCTCGGCCTCCAAGGCAGCTCAGAAGAAAGCCCTCATCCTCCTCAAGCCTCCTCATCTTCCTTGGGTTGTCTCGTGTTGCCCCGGTGAACTTTATTCCCATTTTAGCAGATGACAAGCGGAGGCCCGGGAGGTGGAGCTAGAGGACAGCCAGGGCTCCTGGCTGCGGGACAGCTGTCATCCACTCCTGCTGTGCAGCACTGGCGGCCGCTGGGCGGGCTGGGGACCCGTCT